ACGGATTTACCTCAATCTTGGTATCGAGGGTTTATCGGGATTGCTGATTACGAACTTATAGAGGCAGATTTTCAAAATACAAAATGGCGGATCCAATATGGCGGACGGATTTTTAAAAAAATTCTTGAATTTTTACAAAATTTGGTATCGATGAGTTTTTGGGGTCGCTGATTACGAATTTAAAGTCAGATTTTAAGAATAAAATAAATGGAAAAATTTTCATTGGTTCCCTTTATGAAGAACTGTAAAATGTATACTAAATACGTGTATTTAATAATGAGGCTAAAGTCAAGACAAGACAATATTTATTATTTAGCTACAAATTTAAATTATTTGTTTGTAATTATCATCTAAGAAAGAGTTAATTTCTTAAACATTTATGCACATCGAAATTGAAGATTAATTAATTTATGCAACTTAGGCGTATTATGGTCACTTTATCTACCTGTACAGGCGCATAATACTAAGTTCCCCCTTATACCCCAGCGGTCAATAAAGTGCCCATTATTGCCCTAGGGCAATAAAGTCATGGAAAATCACCGTAAACAAATGGCTGCCTTTATACCCTTGTTGCTTAATATACTATTTTTCGTCATTTTAAAGTTAAGTGTTCAATTTTTAATTATCAATAAAACTTTAGACAAAAATCGGTTTTTTATAATTTTTTCAATCTTCAAAAAAACTATGACCATATCTCTCCCGGACTTACCCTAAGTAAATCATTAAAAGTTTACATCGATGAATTGGCGCGCTGAGTCAGTCGAGTGAATGGCCTCGCCAGCAACTTTCCTCTCCCAGTCAGTAGCGAATAGAGTGTTTTTAGCTAGGGGTACTGTTGGGCACCTTTCTTTTGGTTACAGATTATTAAATTTTCTTATTATCTTGAAAAAGGTTCCAGTGTTCATCCAAAGTTATATTTTAAGATCTCTCTATGATAACAAATAATAGACTAAATTTATTAATAAGGGGACATCCATAAACTACGTTACCAATTTTTCAGACTTTTTAGACCCCCTCCCTCCTCGTTACCATTGCGTTACATGTAAAAATTTCAATTTTTGGACCCCCTCCCCCCTAAATTGGTAACGTAGTTTATGGATGGTCCCTAATAAAATCAAAATAATTATACTGAATAACAAATATTTTTAAAAAATTACACTTTTAAAATTGAATACAATGTAAAAAATTTAGGGTATAATAAAAACCCATAAGCTCTACAGTTTCCATTGAAAATAATTTTCTTTTTTTCAAAATTAATGTTAAAATCAATCAAGGACAGCATAAATTCCCTCTTTTGTGGAACTACTTATACAATAAATTTAATAATGTATTATTAATTATTAAATTGGATATATCTTGGCCCATATGGGCCACCAAGTACAATAAATTTAGGCTGTTTTCGGCACTCGCTCAAGAGTTAACTCCGGGTTAATGGTGATTGGTTAGACCAACAGAATGTTTTTGATGATTGGATAATATTTAACTCGGGGTTAACCCTGGGTGAGTGCCGAAAACAGCCTTAGAGTAAAATATTTGACTCTAAATTTATTGTACTTTAAAATGATCCTACTTTGATAACTTCTACATCTATTTTTACAGAAATATTTGAATTTGAAGTGAAGCGAGCATTTAAAAGTAATCAGTTGTAATGTACTGAAGCTTCGCGACCCGAGTGTATTATACGCGACATTTTAATAAACTTATACATATTATGTTACATTAGTCGGGTCCCAGTAGTATTATATTGCTTGACTACCGCCAAACTTAGAAGTGTTAGATGACGCTTCATTACGTCAGTAACTTTCAGGGCTGTATTCTTAAGTTTAAGCAGAATGCACAAAGTTTAGCCCCTACTTCTGGGCAAAACTCGAGGTTTGAGTATCTACGTTCCTGAAAAGTGCGCAGTAGACAAATCAAAGCACATAACGTAACAGTGTTCAATTTATACTTTAAATAGTAAAACTATTTTTAAATAATTATTTAATAATTAATCATTATACAATTTGTTATTGTGATATATTAATTAATAAATAATAAAACGGTAGATGTATTTGAAATACTTTTAAAAATTTTGGGGAAAAAATTTCAAACTTAATAAAACACATTAGCCGAATGCTTAGCCGATTTAGCTAAAATGAGTTTAGGTTGAATCTAATTTGTCAGACATATTGGAAATATTTGGAAACTTACCACTTTTACCAAGGAATATTTCTTAAATTATAAATATAAACTTTAACGTTTTTCACATTTAAAAAAGTATAAATTTTAATAATTTACTTTTAATTGGTTGTAATTTGAAACATGCGATTGAAAAAATTAAGAAATGCGCATTTAATTTTACTCTTCACACAATTTAAATTGTACCTGTTATTTTATGATTACGTTGTCTTTCAAATAAAATTGAATATCGTGATTCTGGCGATATTACCAATAACGCTCGTTCATTTTTGACGAAATATTGAATAATATTTGAAAAGTTGATCATCCATTATTTCCTATTTTCTTTTGTTCGTCCAAAGTAAATTTTTCATGATCATTTTTTATCCTCTTACACTTTATTATAAGCCCTAAAAACAACCACCTGAAAAATTACATTTAAATAAATGTTTTGTGCGTTCATCATTATTTTTACAACTATTTTCAAGAATTAATTAAGGGAAATATTATACCGAAAAAAATATATTCTTGTTTTGAGAGGAAAATTCCTCTTCTAAAATCCTCTTACATTTTATTGCTGAATTAAAAATATTACTCTTCATATCAGACTATTTCCTCTACTTTTAAGAGGAATTACTCTCAAGTGGAGAATAATCCTCTTCAAATAAGAAAAAAATTCTTCTCCAAAATTCAATTGTTTTCAAAAATTTTAATAAAATCCTTTGCAAAATTTCAATTATTTAAAAAAATTTTCCTCAATTTAATGTTTTTTAATATCTACTATTTTAATAAAATTTTCCAAAAGAATTCAATTGTAAAAAAAAAAAATTTAATAAAATTCTACGCAAACCTTTAATTATTTTCATAAAATAATAAAAATTTCACTGGAATTCAATTATTATTTACAAATTTTTTTATATATTTCTTCGCAATCATTCAATTATTTTCATAAATAATAAAATTTTTACAGGGATTCAATTATTTTAATAAATATAATAAATTTCTTTTTAGGAATTCAATTGTGTTCATAGATAATAAAACTCATCGCAGAATTTCTATTATTTTCAATGCAATTTTAATCAAATTCCTCGAAAAATGTAATTATTCTTGAAAATTTCATTAAATTTCGTCGAAAGAATTCAATTATTTTTAAAAATTTGTTGATAAAATAAAATTTAATTCTTTATGAGAATTAAATTTTAAGAGTACCTCGTCAAAATTTCAACTATCTTTTTAAATAATAAAATTCTTCTCCGAAATTCAATTGTTTTCAAAAATTTTAATAAAATTCTCTGCAAAATTTTAATTTTATTTTTAATGCAATTGAAATTGAATTCCTCAAAAAATGTAATTTTATTGATAAAGTTCTTTGTAAGAATTCAATTTTAAGAAAGATTAAATTATTTATTTTTGTATTTAAATAATTGAATTCTTATAGAATTTTCTAATAAAAATTGATTTTAAAATGGATTTTAGTTTAAATTTTAGATTAGAATTGAATATTAAAAACATTAGAGCGTGAATTTTTAGAAGTAATTGAATTTTGAAAAGGTTTCAAATTAAAATCTTTGAAAATCTGAATTTTTCATATTTTAAACTAACAATTCTGTGGAATTTATTTTCTTGAGAAAGCTTAATGGCGGATTTTTTTTAAAATTATTTAAAGTGTTTTTATTCTCTAATATATGTTTGATTGTAGAATTTATGAATAATTGAAATTTTGTAAAATTGTATTGTAAACAAATGAATTTGGAAATTCTTAAAGAATTTTTTCAAAAACTATTAGAATTAGAACATTTATAGAAGAATTTTAGTTAAAAATACGAAAAAAAATTTAATTTTGGAAAAGTTACAAATGATTGCAGAAATTCAATTATGTTCAAGAGTAATAATATTCTTCGCAAAAATTAATTATTGTTCAAAAATAATAAAAAATTTTTTAGGGATTCCAATTATTTTTACCAATAATAAAATTCATCGCAGAATTTCAATTTTTTTTAATACAATTTTAGACAAATTTTTCAAAAAATGTAATTATTCTTAAAAATTTTATTAAAATTCGTCGAAGGAATTCAATTATTTTTAAAAATTTGTTGATAAATAATTTTGTAAAAAATGTTATGGGAATTGAATTTTAAGAAACATTGAATTGTTTAATAAATTATTTATTTTTGTATTTAAATAATTGAATTCTCGTAGAATTTTCTAATAAAAATTGATTTAAAAATGAATTTCAGTTTAGATTTTAGATAATAATTAAATATTAAAAGCAATATAGCGTTAATTTTTAGAAATAATTGAATTTTGAAATTAATTTTTTTGAAAAAGTTTAATTGAATTTTTTTGTATATTATTTGAAGTTTTTATTTTCTAATATATTTATTTAATTGAAGAATTTACGAATAATTAAAATTTCGTAAAATTGAATTGAATTGATAATGATTTTATTATTCGGTCATTTTTAATTATTATAAAACATGAAGAAACGATCACTCACAAAGACTCGGAGTTATTGATTCTTCATGTTTTATAGTTATTAAAAATTTAATTTATAGTTTTAGGTAAAATGTTTTCTTATTTGACTCGGACTGGTTATATTTTTGTCAGTAATTTTTCATTTTTAGTCCGTAAAGTCTGTATTTTTAAGTAATTTTACTGGTTCGAGCCCCTATCTTAATTTTCAAAGTGTTATAGAATATTTTCTGTAATTGATAATAATTATATTTTTTTAGACGAGAAATTTTTGAAATCTAATAATGAAAAGAAAAACTTGTTTAAACATAATTTTTCTGTATTTTTCGCAAATTTTGCTGAAATATTGAAATTGAATTGTTAATTTTCAGGCTGAATCCGAAGTCGCCGCTCTCAACCGTCGTATCCAACTTTTGGAGGAAGACCTCGAGAGATCAGAGGAGCGTCTTGCCACCGCCACTGCCAAATTGGCGGAGGCATCACAAGCTGCCGATGAGAGTGAACGGTAATATCTTTTTGCTCAATCACATCTCATTTATCCTGAATTTTCCTCCTTGCACCGATGGGTTTTTGTAATTGAAACAAAAGATGTTGCGAGTTAAACAAAATAAAAAAAGAAAAGAAAGAAATCAAGTATGCATATAAAAAGCCTGTAATGAAATTGTAATTAATTCACCAGAAATGCTTAAATTTTATTGCTCATTGAGATTCAGGAAAAGGATTGGTTTTGCCTTCAAAATATTCATCTTCCCATTATTTTAAATTAATCAAATCAATTATTCCCAGAGGGGAAGGAAAGTTAATTGGCCCCATTTCAAACCGCGATTTTTGAAGTACATGAAATTGCATGAAAATTTACATTTGAATACGCGCGACTATTACAAAACGAGTTGTTTCCAGTTTGTTATCTCTTTTTCCGCATTTATAGTGATTGAATTATGGACTGTGTTTCTATGATGAAAATTGATAATCTCGTATTTGTTACTTTTAATAAATTACCTTATGTGTCATCTTCTCTTCACACATAATTGAATCATAACTAGTTCAAGATTCAACGGGATCAATTATTTTTGATAAATAACAATATTCATCACAAGAATTCAATTATTTTCAAAAGTAATAAAACTCTTCGAAGAAATGCAATTATTTTTAAAAATTTAAACGAATATCTCGTCAACAATTATTCAATTATCTTTATAAATAGCAAAATTTTTTTACAAAAATTCAATTATTTTCAAAAATTTAAATAAAATTCTTTGAAAAATTTCAATTATTTTCAAAAGTTTTTCGCAATTCAATGATTTTTAATATTTACTATTTTCATAAAATTTATCAAATAATTTAATTATTGAAAAAAATTTTTGATACAATATTCTACAAAAACATTCAATTATTTTCATAAATAATAACATTTCATTTAGAAATTCAATTATTTTCATCACAGAATTTTAAATATTTTTAAAATAATTTAAAATAAATTTCTCGAAAAATGCAATTTATTCTCAAAAATGTTATTAAAACTTGACGTAAGAATTTTATATAAAGAAACATTCAATTATTCAATAAAATAATAAAATTCGTTGCAATAATTCAATTATTTCCATAAATAAATTTTAATTCGTCACAAAAAATCAATTATTATCATAATTTTTAAGCAATTCTGCAAAAGAATTCAATTATCTTGATAAACAACAAAATTCTTCCCATAAAATCAAATAATTTATAGAATTTTAATAAAATTTAATAAAATTCTTTTCCAAATTTCAATTACTTTGATAAATATCAAAATTCATAACAAGAATATTCAATTCTTTTGAAAAGTAATAAAATACTTTGCAGAAATTAAATTATTTTCAAAATTTTTTTAAAATTCTCGTCAAGAATTAAATTATTTTTATAAATAGATAGCGAAATTCTTCTCAAGAATAAAATTAATTATTGTCAAAAATTTTAATATAATTCTTGGCAAAATTTTAATTATTTAAGCAAAATTTAATAAAATTCTTTGCATGAATTCAATTATTTTTATAAATTATTATTTAAATTTCTTCTCAAGAATTCAATTATTTTTAAAAATTTTATTAAAATTATTCAAAAAGTTTTCAATATTATTTTCAAAAATTGTTATAAAATTCTTTAATATAAAAAAAATTTCAGTAAAATTTTAATTAAACCCCTTAAAAGAAATTAATTATTTTCAAGAATTGTTAATAAAATTCTTCGTAAAAATTAAATTTTAAGAAACATTCAATTATTGAACAAATTATTTATTTTTGTACTATAAATAATTGAATTCTCGTAGAATTTTCTAATAAAAATTGATTTGAAAATGAATTTAGGTCAAAATTTTAGATAAAAATTTAGGTAGGCAATAGTAAAAGCAATTACAGCATGAATTTTTAGAAATAATTGAATTTTGAAAAGGTTTCAAATTCAAATCTTTGGAAATCTAAATTTTTCGTACTTTTAACTAATAATTGATTTAAAGAAGAATTTTAGTTAAAAATTCTAGAAAATAATAATTAAATTTAAATGATGAAAATAATTTCGAAGAAGTTAGAGTAACAATATTCTTATATAAAATAATATTAATATTAAATTTCAAAAAGGTTTAATTTTAAATTTTTGAAAAACTTAATTTCTATATATGGAAAAATAATAATGATTAAATATTTATTTAAAAAACAAACTCTATTGATGTTTTCGAATAATTTTTGTAGAGAATCAGAATATTCTTCAGGATCAGGGAAAAAGTCAAAATTCTGTCTCGAAATCAGAAAAAAGTTAAATTTTCGTAGCAACCCTGGTTTTTGAAAACGAAAACGGAAAATAACGAATCAATATTTATTATTTAGCAACAAATTTAAATAATTTGTTTGTAATTATCATCTAAAAAAAAAGATAATTTCTCAAAAATTAGTGATCATCAAAATTGAAGATCAATTAACTTGCAAAAATTTTTTTTATAATTTTTCGTTTTCAAAAATGTTGCCGACTTCATCTTCATATTTTTTTTCATACGCTCTAAATTCAACTAATCCTTTTCTTGAGTAATAAAATATTATCCAAAATGAACAAAAGTTCAAAATTTATTATTCGCCAATTGCTGAATGTTTATATAAACTAATTTAAAATGTTTATATATAAATAATAAAAATGATTTAAATTATTATTATTTAAAAAAGAAAATATTGTTGAAAAGCACTGGTAAATTTTTTTTTCCCTATGCAGAAATTATTTGAAAGATTTCGCAAGAGTTAGACTGCAGTAATCGGGTGTTGTACTTGTATCTTTGTAGTTCTCGTATGACACTCGTCCGATAATTGCTAACCCAACGGTGTTTTCATTTTAAGGTTTCTCTAAGTTTTCATGATGAGACAATAGTTGTTTCTGTCTTGATACTGCTTTTCCATTAAATTCTGTCTCTCTCTCTCTCTCTCCCTCCTTGATCGGTTAAGAGATCAAATTTCGAGTTGCCTCTTTTTAATTCTCGAAGGACTCAATTTACATTCTCCAAGATTGTTTTTCAGTATTATACACTTATGAGAGTGAGAATTTATCAAAGAAGTATGTCAAATATTCATCATTTATGCGTGATTTTTATTCACATTTTTATTTTCAATTTTTTATCAAATTAATTTAACGCATAGTTTTTAAGAAAGAAAACAAAAAATTGGAGAAAAAGTAAAATATTTATTAAAAATAGTTAATTAAAATTAGAATTTTTAATTCATTAAATAACTTTAATTTATTTTTAATGCTAAATTTTCTATTCTTACATAAAATTAAAATAAACATCTTTTTTTTTATTTATTTTCTTCGTTTCTACATTTTCATTAGCAAAGAAAGAATCTTTTCATACAAGAACTTTTATTTTAAAAATAGTCATGAGTAAGTTTTATGTAAATTTCTGATTATTGAAATGGCCTCGATATTTGAGATCTTAACTCAATTTTCCTTAACACATTCCTTTCAATTATAATATAATTCTTTATTTCAACTTTTATCTCATTAAACAAAGAGAGGTAATAATCTCATTTGAAACATTTTTTCCAAAAAGAGTTGAAATTAAAGTAAAGAACGTATTTTTAAAATAAAAAATATTATTTAAAATAAAAAAAAATTATTTTAAAAATTTTGTAAAAATATTTAACATTTAATTAAATTTAATAATAAAACAACAATTAGTTAAAGATAAAAATTAAAAAATATATAATAGTTAATAAGATTTATCTATTGTTTAAAATTTTTAAATGTTGGGAATCAAAATTATTTAAAAATGCCTTGCCTCTTTTTATTTATAATAAATAAAACCGTTTTCTATTTCCATGTAAAAGTGATCCATTTAAGTTCAACTGGTAAAGAAGTAGAATCTTATCACCTTTGTTTTCATTATGATAATATTGAATGAATATGCAAGTGCATTGCAAGAGGAATTATTGTTTTCAAAGTTTGGAGATTCTCTTTCTTTTTTTTATGTATGTTTTTAAATTTATTTTATTTGAAAAATAAAAGGGACAAACCCTTTTTTATATGAGTACTCTTAAATACTAATGTTGAACATTGTTACAAAATTAACAAATCACTAATATAAAAAATAGAAATTAGGTTTGTTTTTGTTAAAATAATATGAATTACCTTGTTTTCTGTGATACACGGCAAAGAAGTTCAGTTTTTCTAAATTGGCACGATTCTTAAACAAAATAATAATAATAATATTGCTTGTTTTGCTGTTTCTTCACGAACTTGCAAATTCTTTCGAGATTAAAAATAAAATATTTTTAGATATTACTAATCTATCTTTCCGTGTTTCACATTTACAATTAAATCCAGACACAATGTGCTTTTATTTATATTTATTACTTTTTTTCTTTAAAAATGTGAATACGTTTATTGGACATGAATTTTTTGATAATTTTTGCCATAACTGAGAAATGAATAAAACATTGGTTTTATTTTCATGTAATTTTAAAAAGTTTTGTAAAATTGAAATTTATTATAGGATTGAAGTAAATTAAATTAAATTTTGGTAAATAAATAAATTAAAAGTCTTGAAATTTGCAAATAAATTCGATCTGAGAACATATTTGCAGTGTAAGATTATTTTAAATATATATATGTAAAACTGCGGCTTCGGCATGAGAATGGAATGCAGTATTTCAGGATAACTGTATGTTCCAAATTCTTTTTATATTTAATCAGTAGCCGTATAATAAACAAAATCACATTTTATTGAACGTAAATTATAGTCGATTCATGTGCTAGCTCTTAGTTTTTATTACTTGAAAATTGTTATTTATATTTGAGAAAATATTTCTATTTGAAGAAAGTTCTTATTGCTTAATATTATGTAAAATGTTTCTTAAGATGGTCATGTGTCCCATATTTTACAAATTAAAAATTTCTTTAAATTTTAATATTTTAAATTAAATTTTAAAATTAATAATATTAAAATATTAATTTTTAATAAAATGATATATATTTAAATAAATTTATAAATTAATATTTTAATAATAAATTTATAAATTAATATTTAAATAATAAATTTATAAATTAATATGAAATATAAATTTATTTAAAAGTTTTTATTTGCCATTTAAAATTTTTTATAAACTATAAAACTATTTTATGCATAAATTTCAACTTTTTTTTAATAAATAATTTTAAAAAAATATACAAAATATAATACAGATAAAATTTGTCCAATTTCCATATAAGGAAATCCAATTGGTTTCATAACAATTCATACCAATAAATAACATGAGCTTAAATTCTTTTTTCCTTGATACTATTTAAAAAATCATTTTTTACAATGTAACATTTATAATTTACAGTTTTATTTACAAATTTATATTTTTATAAAATTACATATATTTTTGTAATCACTATTTTGTAATATAAATTTATAATTTTATAATCTAATAAACTTTGTTTACTTTGTAAATAGATTTTTTAATGTAAACCATTTTCTTTCAAGATATTTAAATCATGAAATATTTTTAAAAATATATAAATAACATTGTATTTTGGAATGTTTTTGTTTTTCGCGAATATGTTGGAAATTTTTCCTTTAATCACATTGTGTCTTGGTGTATTTATTTGTGTATTGAAAAGTATTATTAGATCCGAGTTTTACACGATTAACTTACCGTAAAGGCCACTGCACACAAAAATGTGATAATTTGTCATAAAGAATGTATCGATCCAATCACTGATTATATTAAATCATGCAGAAAATATCTGCGATATTATTTTATAATTTATTTATTATAAAAGTGTGCATTGGTTTTTATGATTATTTTTATAACGTTGAAAGTGGATATTTTGTCAAAAATGTAAATGTTAGTGTCGTCATTATTATTATTGGTAAGGAAGTAAGAATTTTTTCAGCTTTAGTATACAAAATTTATCCATTTTAACTGAATTATACTTTTTCCATTTTTAATTAATTACTAAATTTCTTTAGAGAGAAAAATTTATTCAATTTAAGGATAATTTAGTTAAAGAAACATGTAAAAAAATTTTAAAACATGATAATGATAATTTTTGTAATCTATTCGAAAAATGAAGAAAATTAAAAGAAAAAAAATTGAATTTCACTTGAAAATACTGTAAGAATAATTTATTATCATTTATTATCATATTCAAGAAAAATGCCAAATTTCGTAATTCGACATGTTAAAAAAAACTTTCAACGTTCATAATCAATATAATCTAATCAAAATTAATAGGATACGCAAGGCTCTCGAAAATCGAACTAATATGGAGGATGATCGGGTCTCCTTATTGGAACAACAACTCGCACAAGCTAAACTCATCGCTGAGGAAGCAGATAAAAAATACGAGGAGGTGGGTTTTCAATTAAAAACGGACTCCTTCTCAAATATCGACCAAACATACACACCAAATATTTTTTTTCGACTCATTTTTAATCTATTTTCTATTGTCTCGACATTAAATTTCATGTTATGAAATCGCATTGTTAAATTTCGCAAATATTACTTTTTAAGTAAACGAAAAATGAGAAAAAACATATTTGATCTAATTTCAGTTAACTTAAACTGTCACGGAGAAAAAAAGGGATTTTTTATTAGTATAACTGCAATTAGTTACATTTTTTTAAATATATATTTAATTAATTATTAAAAATTAAGTAAAAGAAATTGAATTTTGGAGCAGATACAAATCATGTCAGAAATTCAAATATTTTCAAAATAGTAAAATTCTTCGCAAAAATACAATTATTTAACATTTTAATTTTATTAATTTTTAATAAAATTCTTGTCAAAATATCAATTATTTTCAAAAATTTCCCACAATTCAATGATTTTCAATATTTACTATTTTAATAAAATTTTCCAAAAGAAGAGAATTTAATTATTTAAAAAACATATTTAATAAAATTCTACGCAAACATTTAATATTTTCATAAATAATAAAAATTCCACAGGAATTCGATTATTTAAATTTTTTTTATTAATTTCTTCGCAATAATTCAATTATTTTCATAAATAATAAAATTTTTGCAGGTATTAAATTATTTTTATTAATAATAAAATTCTTTTTAGGGATTCAATTATTATTTTTTATAAACAATAAAACTCATCGCATAATTTCAATTATTTTTAATACAATTTAATGGAATTTCTCGAAAAATGTAATTATTCTTAAAATTTTTTTTTAAAATTCATCAAAGAAATTAAATTATCGTAAAAATCTTTGCTATAATTTATTTATTAGAATTTAAGTATTATTTTCAATTCATTTTTAATTAAATTTCTTTGAAAGAATTAAATTATTTTCAAAAATTTTAATAAAATTCATCGTAGAAAATTAATGAATTTCAATAATTTGTCAAAATTCAATTATTTTTAATATCTATACTATTTCAATCAAATGTCAGAACAGAATTCAATTATTTAAAAAGAAATTATTAAAATTCGTCTCAAGAATTCAAATATTTTCAAAAGTAATAAAATTCTTCGTAGAAATTCAATTATAGTAAAAAATTTACAAAAAATCTCGTCAAAATATCAATTATTTTTATAAATAATAAAATTCTTCAAAATAATAAAAATTTCATAGGAATTCAATAAATAATTGAATTATCATAAAGAATTTTATCAACAAATTTTTAAATAATTAAAATTCTTTTGAAGAATTTTAATAAAAATTTTAAGAATAATCTCATTATTCGAAAAATTTATTATTTATGGAAATAATGGAATTATTGCAAAAAAAATTTATAAAAAATTTGTAAATAAATTTTTTATAAATTTTATTTTTATAAATTTTTTTATAAATTTTTTCGCAATTTGTAAATAACAAATTTTTTATCAATTTCTTTGCAATAATTTCATTATTTTCATAATTAAAAATTTTACAGAGATTCAATTATTTTTAATGCAATTTTAATCGAATTTCTCGAAAAATGAACTTATGCTTAAAAATTTTATTAAAATTCTTCAAAAGAATTTAAATTATATTATTATATTATTGTCTTAAAAATTTGTTGATAAAATTCTTTATGAAAATTTAATTCTGAGAAACAGTTCATGATTCAATAAAATATTTATTCTTGAATTTAAATAATTGAATTCTCGTAGAATTTTCTAATCAAAATTGATTTAAAAAATGAATAATTTCAGTTAAAATTTTAGATAATAATTAAATATAATTATAGCGTGAATTTTTAGAAATAAAAAAATATTCAAATTGTAATAATTTTGATAAGGTTTCAAATTTTAATGTTTGAAAGTTTGAAATTTTCATTCTTTTAACTAAAAATTGTGTAGATTTAATTTTTTAAAAAAAGTTTAATGGAATTTTTTTTTGAAATTATTTCAAGTTTTTATTTTCTAATATATATTTAATTAAAAAATTTTGAAATACCTAATCGAAATTGCGTAAAATTGATTTGTAAACAAATGGATTTGAAAATTGTCAAAGAACTTTTTCAAAAATTATTAAAAATAATTGATTTAAAGAAGAATTTTGATAGGAAATTCTAGAAAATAATAAGTGAATTGAAATGTTGGTAATAATTTTGAAAAAGTTGCAATTAACAATATTTTTATATAAAATAATGATATTATCAGTCGGTCATCTTTAATTATTATAAAATATTCTTTTAAGTTATTGAATTTCAAAAAAGGTTGAGATATTTGAATTTGAAAATTTTGAAAATCCTAAATGTGACAGCTCAAGTGAAACATATTCTTTACGAATAAAAATATTACATAATTATGGCAGGGAATTGTTTATATTGTTAATGTTTATTTATTGTCAGTATCATTTACTGTTTTCTTCTTTTTTTTGCGAAATATAATAATGATTCTTTATTTGCAAATTTATACAATCTGCGACTTAAAGTTTGCGAGTTTTACACTGAAAAAAAATTTATTTGATTCAAATAACCGATTAATTGATTATTATGAATTAAATATTTATTTAAATGGTATTTGCTTCAAATACTGAAATTATTGGTTGTTTGAATCAAATAAATTTGTTTTCAATGTATTGATATTTCGAGTTGACATTAAAACCTAATAATCTGAAATTAAATGTTTCCTTCCGAAAAATTCTATGTATTCGAGTCGTAAATATTTCTTTTGTCTTGTTTGGTCATTATCAGATGTGTCCTATTATATTTCTGAATTTTCAGGATGTATATTTAATTACAGAAGCAGAAGCAGATGATGGAGAGCTGTTTTATAAAAATTAAAAATTGGTTATTTTCTTTTGGATTGTTTTATTATTCTTATTATTAGAAATTTATTAATTTTGATTTCCATTGTGAATATGTATAAAGAGCCCGCAAGATCCTCGAGAATCGCAGCTTGGCTGATGAGGAGCGTATGGATGCATTGGAAAATCAACTGAAAGAGGCCAGGTTCCTTGCTGAGGAGGCGGACAAGAAATATGATGAGGTTCGCGAATTCGCAACAGTCAAACGTGCAGACTGCAGTGTTGATAACGATGGTTCCTAGTCGATAGTTAAAAGTGCCTAACCCTAACTACTCGCTGTGTGCTCACCTTGTGTTGCTCAATTACTTGAGCATTTGCCGACTTTCGCCATTTTTGCTGTTAAATCAAAATTTTTATGAGAAAATATCGGAGGAAATAATTTTCTTTAATTAGGGGGGAAAAGAATTCTAAAGATAGTTTCATTTTAACTTTTCGAATTAAAAAAATTGTTTTTGTCACTTGTCTTGTCCTGTCGGGAGGAAAAAAGTGTCGGTGCTTTTTCTGTTGCATCATAAAAAGAAAACATGAGTGCAAAAAAAAAAATTAAATCTAAAAGAAAAAAAAAATTAATTCGCGAGTGTCGCTATAGCTCAAGTGTGGTGCTCAAAAGTCTCTCCTAGAAGAAGACTTTATATTGTAAATACTTTTTAATGTGGTGCTAATGAAGCACACTTACTGTCGATGAATTTCAGAATCTAATCGATCAGTTGTTTGAGAAACTTTGTTTTTCGTTTTTTTTAAATTTAATAATTTTAATTGTTTCGTAAAGGCTTAATTTTTTGGGGTTAAAATTAAATTATTAAATACTAAGTTCCTGGTTATAGAAGAAGAATTTTATGGTGAAAAGGAATATTTTAATTTTTTGGAAATGTTTAGTTTTTATAAAGGGCAGCTGTGATTGTGATTTTTAAAAAGTTTCGTGTTTCAAAGTCGTTTAGTGTTTGTTCTTTTGTTTGTTTATTAAGCGCGAATTATCTTAGCAATGAGTGATGACTAACAAAAAAAAAAATTAGGATAGTTTAACAGAGAAAAATTTAATTATTGCACCAAAGTTACAGTGAATATAGTTTTTCGAGTTATCGACATTTTTTTGTACAACGCGCTCCAAATCTTAACTTACCGGTCTTCGAGCAGTAAAACAAAGGCAAGTTTTTTTTCTTATCCTACACTGAAAAAAAATTCTTAGTAAATTTGACTACTTTTTAACTATACTTTCCTTAGTTCAATAAGTGCCCAAAGATATTTTTGAACTTACATTAACTTATTAGATATGTGGTTCAATGAAGTGATATAATGTAGTAGCATTAACTACTTTTTTTAGTTATATAGGAACCAATGACACTTTTGCAGTAAAATTAACTGATGATTTGTAGAATATTAAAGTTACTAAGGACTACCTCAGTAGTAAAGACAAATACTTAAAATAGTAAAATAAAATGGTTAATTATTTATTATTAATATTAACTTCCACTTTTTAGCTTTTCCCCTATCTACTTTTGTTTGTCTATACTTTGTACATTTAATTTTTATATCTTATAGAGAAAAAAATCTCCATACGCCGGGAATCGAACGCACGACCCTAACATTCGTAAACCGATGACCTAACCACCTGACCACGCCGCACTCTACATTTAAACTGTCATTGAAGCCTATCGAACTAATTTAAGTAGTAGAATCTACTACTTTCTGTAGTTATTTATGTACACAACTGGTCAGACTAAGTAAAAAAGTAGTTCTTTTTATAACTTTTTAGTTTTTACTCTACTAAGGCGATGTACAGTTGAAAATATCTCATGAATTTTTTCAGTGTAGGCGATATAATAAATTAAAATTATGAAAAAAGAAAACTTAGAGGTAGAGTAAAATCTAAATAACCATTTTTTTAAACAATTAGTGGAAAGTAAAAACAGAAAATTTAATATATTTCATTTGATGGAAATTATTAAAAAAGATTTTTACATAGTGTCAAGTGGGGAAATGCAAACAGTTTATGTGCCAAACACATTCACAACCTTCACCCACAATAAATGAGGTTATTGAACATGTGTGGTTTAAAGTACGTTTATGTTTTAATTTTTTAATTTTCAAATTATTTTAAAAAA